TAAAAAAATACATGAAAAAAAAATCGTTTGTAATTTTTTTACACAAAACTGCAATTTCATAGGATTTTAAGCAAACTTCAGCTTTACTCCAAGGTACATGAGAGTTATCTATAGTCTTTAAAGCTTCTTTTGACCTACACCATGTAGTCTCATCATCGTTCTGCTTCATAGGAATCTAATTTTCAAAATAAGCACAGATCTCACGTCGGTAACCGATCTGACTGACAGACAATTTTGATTCACGTAGGTTCTAAAGGCGAGTGTTTACTATAGACAAAAACCTTACTTTTGACTTGGCTAACTACAGAATTAATTTTTTTTAATTCCTATCTATATTTGTCTCTTGTATCTATACTTACGAAATAAACACAAACTTACATTTTTAGGTGAATAGTGCAATTTTTCTATGAAACATTACCCATTATTGCCGGAATCGTGTCCGAAAATAGATGCTTGCGGTCATAAGTCGACAAGGGGATCTATTTACGTTGTTTCTATGGGGACTGGGGACTAGGGAGTGGCGTGGTGACGTCACCGTGACCTCGCCTGCCCAGGGTGCGCCGCCACCCTTCAGCGGGAATCCCAAACATCCCGCATTTCACGTATGTTAAGCCCGAATGTTATTTAATTTATTGTATTACCAAAATATCACGCGATCAAATGCGTTATTCAAATTACCTTAATTGACCCAGGCCGTTGCTTTATTTCAAATAAATTGGTCTGTAAAGAGTGAATAATTACTCCAGTGTTTAATAACTTAATATTTTTTAAGTAATTGCTTCAAATGTCTATCCATTATACTTTAATGGTTCATTTTATGTAGTACCTTTCATGCAACTATCTTCAGCGTTATCGCTGGTTATCTATGCACTGTAAACGCTATCATTTACATATTTCAGCACCTTTATTCTTTACAGTAAATACACATTACAATGTGCAAATAAATGTAAAGATTAACTTTAGAAATTGCTGGGTTTTATGTCCACCACTTAGGTACTTTTAAACGTCTGTGACGTCAGAATTGTTAGTGCAATGTGTTATTAGATGAGCTGATAATGTATGTTATATGCTAAAGTATGTATCTGTCTATAATGCCTACGATAATAAACCCTACAAACTAAATGGCACGAAATAATGGATGATGATGTCCATCAAATTGCCTTTCGCTGTCGTACTTCAATTTGGGTCAGTAAAGGTACTGTCTATTGTTCCTATGTAGGGTAGGTAGTAACCCACCTGCTAAGTGCTATACCTTAAAGATATTATACCAGCTTCTTAGCAGTCAAAGTGACCTATGATTAAGTGACTTTAACGTTTTATTACTTCATCTTACAGAGTAGTTTTGTTTAGATGTTCCAATTTAAAGACAATTTGGTAAACAGTGCATTATGAAGAAGCTAGCAAGTTTAGCCTTGCTAAGGTTACATAGAAAAAGAAGAATTGCCGTGGTCTAGGTGAGAGTAAGGTCGTATGAGCAGTAAATTCAAAGTGTTCCAGTAAGATTGTGGTTAGATACGAATTAAAAAGATTGCCTCGTTGGCCGAGTGGTCGCAAGTGCGACTGGCTAAATAATACTACCAAGTTTTAAAAAAATCTCAGTAATTGCAAGGAGTCTGGAATTGTGCCCGGTATATGGCAATAGGCTCAACCCCTATTACATGGGACTCATAACATAAATAGTGAAAAGTGGGTGTTACATTGTACAGTGGCATAATGTGCACCTCTGCCTACCCCTTCGAGGATAAAAGGCGTGATGTTATGTTACGTAAAAAGTCAGCTACTGTGAAGATTTAGAGTAAATACGCACGATGGAGTATTTAATCATCAGCTAAAGTTACTTATTCATTACAATTTAACACACACGCCACTAACTTTAGAATACAAAGTAAATCTCACTCTAAATGAAGTGTCAAGGGAGTCACCAAACAGGTGGCGTGTTATGCCCAACGTGGCCATCTCTGAAAATTGTTGTTTGAAAGCTTTGCCTCGTAAAGATAAAATATGTCGCCAGAGCTGTTTGTTCTGTCGTTGGGGATTTCGAGGGAAAATCCTAAGTGTGCTCCGTGGAACGAGATTTTCAGAATACATTTTGTACACTGCATTTACTTTAGATATTATGTTTATGTAGAAGATATTGGGGTTTATTGTACAAATATCAGGCTTTGCTTTGAATAACGTGGCTTTGAAAGGTGTATCATGTTGAAAGATGTGACAACTGTCGTGGTGGCCCGGAGGTTTAAAACTTCCGACGGCAAGTACCAATGTGACTTTCCGAGACAACACTGACAAACGGTGAACAAGAACATCGTGAGGAAACCTGGGCTATATATATAAATTATAATTTATAATTATAAGGCAATCGCAATCGCAACCTGCATTAAGCAAACGTGGTGATTAATGCTTAAACCTTCTCCATGCGAGAAGAGGGGTTTGGTTAGCACAGTGGCCACTTAAAGGTTGTTTGATATGTGATGTGTGTGTGTGTGTGTGTGTGTGTGAAAGATGTAATGTTTATCATATTTGAAAGTAATTGATTTTATAATCTTCTTAAGCCTTTGACTGCCGCCAGAAAACTGCTGAAGGCAAATCCTCCGCTAACGTAGGTCACCGGTGACCTCCGCGGCGGTTAACGTGTTAACATTGAAAATAGTGAAAATCTTATTCTTACATTCGAGCAAGCAATACTTTGTTATTGGTACACTCCATTGGAACGTAACTGTTTATCTGATGGTATTTCGAGCCCATGTGTATTAAACAGTAATCGTTTGAACCGAGAACTTCATAGTATTTATATCTTACCGACTTCGGTATGGTTGCTTTACTCAGTAGCAGCAATGGAAATTGACGAATTAAATTTTTTCCACTACATTTTGATAAGCGATTGTTTTAGGACAATATAAATAAGACTATGATTTGACTAACAGTATATTTATATTATAACTTTCGTGAGACGTACTAAATTAATAATTTATCATGTTTTTCGGTTTACTCACGTAATTATTTGACGAGGAACTCGACTAGTTTCAAGCCATGCTACAGGCTTATATTCATGAGCAGCATACCGCGACCGGCGACACGGAGTTCCTTGTCACATAATTATGTGAGTTAGCCGAAAACACTATATTGTAGTAATATTGATACAATTCAATCTAATATAACCAAAAGTCTGGTCACGATTGACCTTCACGCATGATTTCATGATGTGAGCATTCTGCTCTGTGTTTAACCGCTCTGCTGAACACAGTGATTGCTGTAGGTGATATCATATACAGACAAATAGATAGTTCGCATGACCATACTGATACAAAAATGCCGAAATAATCATGTGATCCTGTCATGTGTAAAATGTCAAAAATGTTTAGTAAACTAGTGACAAATTGCAAGGGATATCTTTGCTGCACTGCTTGCTCTGTATGTCCTATTGTGCTTCAAATTAGGTTAGTCTTAATGCTCAAAAAATATATAAAAACTTAAAAAAATATGCTAGAATCTAGTTCATGTTTTATTATAATAAGGTACAGTCGCCTAATAAGGCCCACCTTATTTCAAACCTTGTATAATCTTGTAGATAAATAAAGTAGAGAAGAAACATACATCGAAAAAAGTAATCATAACTGCATATTTTTTAAGTGGCCCGTCTCAGAAAGCGGTCGTCTTTGGCGAACATACCTTATACTTCATTCACAACTATTCACATAGGACCCTATTTCATCAGGACATGGTCCAAATGAATGTAGGCGACACCAGAACAAATACTAGACTTGATTTGGCCGAACAATAAAGTTGAAACTAGGTGAGATATCCTCCTAACGATTGTCTATATTTTGTTGGTTGGATAACCGAGAAAGACCTAGATTTCATGTTTCAGAATGACCGGGAGAGATTTAATTAAATACTCATCATGTTTTAGAAGATAAATTTTCATAGGAGACTTCTATATCAAGTGTTAGTACAACGTATAATATAATCTACTAACAAATATAAATAAATATAAGTATGTACATTATCTTTACAAAACACTTTCTTTATTAGCCAAGATAATAACGTGATTGACTACTTTTCCTGCTTGGTTTGACAGTTGAACGTAGTAACTAATAATTATGCGAGGCAAGCCATCACGTGGATCGCGCAATCAACGAAATTTCATTTAGTAACGTGTCCTCATGTTTGTTCGTATGTAGGTCGGTGCGACGTGGAATAATGTTATTTAGAGACTATATATCCTATTTTATGAGTAGTTTTCTGTTTTAGAACGTTAGAGAAAATTTTTGAATGGTCTCTAAGCAGTTAGGTATTAGTCGCGGAGAACCTAACGGGTAACCGGCTCGTCGTGCAGGAGAAGGAACGGGGTGGTTTTTAGTCCGTAAGAGTCTGACACTCCCTCCCGCCTCACCCAGGCGGGAGCAGTCATTCGATGATTTCCCCCCTTAAAAAAAATCAGTTAGGTATAATTAAGTTACAATACTTACAATCATAAAACATGTGTAATCATATCTGACTTAAATTAGAAAACTACTCTGAGATGCGGTGTAAAGGTATTCGAAACAGAACAAGCTCTCTCGTAATTATAAGATGCAGTAATGCATGCATTAGTCTCAAATAACTTTGTGTAATTGCAACTGGGAAGTAATTGGACATCTAAATATTGTCTGCGCAAATGTAGTTAGAGAGTAGAGTATTGGGAACACATTTGTTGCCCATTGTAATGGAGCCTTCGCTTTTCATTTGAATAGATAGATCTGGTAGATACGGTGTCTAAGACTGTTTAGGAAGGTTTTTATACACGTCTTATGCATCATCGAAGGATGAAGTTTCCATTTATGTAGAGAAGATTGGGTACAAGAACATGTTATGACATGACAAAGAAAAGAATGCTTATGTATGCATAAGCATTCTTTTCTTTTATAGTTTTAAAAAATACATCAGTGTCGGAATCATATGCCCAATTAAGTTCTGGTTTGTTGAATTTTTGCTGACCAATCTCTTTCCCTTGTTCACAGGAGGGTCCTCACTCCACACTGCCAGACGACGAGTTTTACGATGCAGTGGAGACAGGGTTCGACAAGATGGAGGAGGAGCGGTGTGCACGCGTGGTGCCGCCTAGCGTCCACACGAGGGACCAGGTCGAGTTGCCACCGCCGGCCATTGACAACAGACTTACCGTGCATCCTTTGTGGCCTGAGGTGAGAAAAAGTAGAAAACAAGGATTTACTGTAATGAAGACACTAAAAGTGAAAATATGTTGGTCCTTTAGTAAGGTTATTTGTTTAAATCCTTATGGAAACGTAAGAGCATGAAGGTCCATGCTGTCTTCTTCGTGCTTCTCGAAATATCTGATATAATATTTTCTATTTTGGTATTTATTTTCAAAGCCTCGACGACATTTGGTTAGATATATCAGCTATTGGACTTTGAGACAAGCATTAAAAAAAACCCTGTTGGATTCCTTTTATGGCGATGACTATTCATGACTCCATTAAGTTATTTCGAATTTCAGTCAGTCATTCCCTTAAATTCCATCTGATATGTACTGTAAGTCACCGTAAACATAAGTATTTCTGCTAAATACAGACTCATGTATTTAGTGTTCCTTCCAATCGTTTGTTTAACCACTGAAAGTCATCGGCTTACAAGGGATTACATGAACCGTGTTGGGATTATTGTAGGATTATCCGGATCAAGCCTTTTCAAGTCTGTTCCATTTAGGTGATGCCCCAAAAACTTAATGCCAGCTAAATGACTAGAGGTCAGACGTTTATGATGAAAATACCGCGGTATTCAAATACTAGGTTAATGGCCTGATAGGGGGAAACGGTTCGTTTATCTTTTCTAATGACATAACAGGTGTTGGGTGTGTAATTAATGTTAGACGTATTGTTTTGTCCGTGTTTCTGTAGTCGCTCTTTGAATAGACACATTTTTTAATTGTAGAGGTCCCGTTTGAGGCCTGGTTTTAAACCTGATGATACTTATGTATCTTCCTGCAATGGCAGATAATGTGATTTTGGGAAAATTATTGCGTTTGTAATTCGGGCAAATCCTAAAATTAACAAGCTTGTTGTGTTTATAAGATCATACATCACAACATCTCGTCTTTACCCCCAGAGGTGCACATTACGGCACTTCCACTGTACAATGTAACACCCACTTTTCACTATTTTATGTTATGAGTCCCTATTGCCATAATTATACTGCTTCGTTGACCGAGTGCTCGCAAGTGCGACTGTCGGGCAATGGTTCTCAGGTTCGATACCCAGGTCGGGCAAAGTATTACTGGGTTTAAAAAAAATCTTAATAGTAGCACGGAGTCTGGAATTGTGCCTGGTATATTTATAAGATCAAAATTAATCAATATAGTATTTTTGTTTCCAGATCGACAGGATATCAACGGAACAGATCCAAGCCGCGTTCGAAGGTGTGGGCGGTGAGATAGGATGGCAGTTGTTCGCCGAGGAGGGCGACATGAGGATGTACAGGAGGTACGTGGAAACTGTTACTCAGAGTGGGTATGTGGTTCTTTGTATTTGTACCGCTTTGCTTAGGACTTGCACATTTATGTTAAAATCTTGAGTGAATGTTATAAGATTAGTAGAGTTTTATATACATAATTTGTTTTGGCTTGTAGCTTACGAGTTTGCTTTTTTTTTTGGGATAAATAGGGAAACGAGCAGGCAGGTTACCTGATGGTAAGCAATCGGCGTCGCCCTTGGCCTGGAACACCAGAGGCGTTACAAGTGCGTTTAAGGCTTTTTGGATTAGGAATTTGAGTATTCTTGGGGAAGGGGAGAGGGGGAGAGGGGGGTAATTGGGCCTCCGGTAACCTCACTCACACGACGAAACACAACGCAAGCGTTGTTTCACGTCGGTTTTTTGTGAGGCCGTGGTATCACTCCGGTCGAGCCGGCCCATTTGTGCCAAAGCATGGCTCTCCCACACTTAAAATCTATTATTATTTTAATCCTACGTTTATTTTTTATTTCTTTATTGTTCTTTGGTTTTGTAGTGAGTTTTGGTGAACCATTAGGTGATCTCTCTGTTCGTTTGCCTCCTATTCTAAAGGGAATTGTAAATAGTTGGCTTTGCATTTTGAAGTTGGGAGTTGGCGGTGCATGGTTGAAGGTGCCTGTAAATATAATAGTTAATTCCAATGTCGTTACTATGTTCTTCCAGGGAGATGGAGGTGGACGGCATGGTGACGGACCCGCTGAAGGCAATGCACAAGGTGCGCGGAGTCACTGCGCGCGAGATGTGCCACTACTTCTTCAACCCACGCTACCGATACGAGTGGGAGAGTGAGTGTCATAGCTATTTGTCTTCTTCTTCTCTGTTTTTAACTTTTTCAGTAGTCCGAATTTTTTACATAATATAACATCACGCCTTTTACCCCCTAAGGGGTAGGCAGAGGTGCACGTTATGCCACTGTATAATGTAACACCCACTTTTCACTATTTATGTTATGAGTCCCATGTAATAGAAGGTGAGCCTACTGCCATATACCGGACATTTTCAGACTCCGTGCTACTACTGAGATTTTTTCTTAAAAACCTATTAGTACTTTGCCCGACCCGTGAATCGAACCAGAGACCTCTTGCCCGGCAGTCGCACTTGCGACCACACGGCCAATGAGCAAAAGAAGAAATAACAATATCTAATAAAAATATTCCATTCCAGCTACCCTGGAAACGATGACGATAGTGGAGGAGATAGCGTCAGACTCGCTGGTGTTCCACCAGACGTTCAAGCGGATCTGGCCAGCCTCGCAGCGGGACGCGCTGTTCTGGTCCCACGTCCGCCAGTCCAGCGAGAACACATACGCTGTCACCAACCATTCCACCACGAATGCTGATTATCCGGTTAGTACTTTATAAACTGTCAAACACCGCACGGTCACCGGTGACCGCAACGTTCTTTAATTGTGTCTATAATGACGGTACTCAAAGAGTTAATCCATTGAAGTATATATTTATAAAGAGCGATCCGCCCCGGCTTCGCACGGGTGCAATATGTATGTATAATACATATAAACCTTCCTTAAGAATCACTCTATCTATTAAAAAACCGTATCAAAATCCGTTGCGTAGTTTTAAAGATCTAAGTATACATAGGGACAGACAGACGCTGGATAGCGACTTTGTTTTATACTATGTAGTGATTACATTTTCCCCGCGATTTCGTACGCGCAATCTCGTTTTACCCGATCCCGTTTGTGATTTGCGGAAAAAAGTAAAAAAATGTATTGATTCAAAAAGTATCCTATGCCCGTCTCCTGATAGCTTCTCATCAATTTTCATCTAAATTTCTGTTGAATGCCTCCAGGCGAACAACGGCGCGTGTATCCGTCTGTTCGTGACAGTGTGCCTGGCGTGCCACACGACGTACCCGGCCGGGGAGACTCCCACGAGGGACAACATCACCACCAGCATCGCGTACTGCAGCACTGGTATGTACTTGTTATATCTTCTAGTATTGTTAGTATCATTATCGTCGTGGTTAGCCTCATCAAAAAGGATTATATTCAGCAGCAGATGGAAACGATTGATGAAAAATCTTGGAATGTTTTGAACTGTCTTTTATTACTATCTATTCTATTTATCTATAAAGTCTATTTTTGTTTAACCCCTCATTTGTAACAATAGTTTTTCCTATCGACGGGGTTAGTAATAAAAAATCTTGTCTAATTCACATAGCTATAAAGATTTTGGTATGTTTGTCACATCTCAGTGGGGAAAAAGTTTATTATCCGTGTCCTTAAGTTACTAATGAATATTTTCACGTTCCAGTAAACCCAGGAGGCTGGGCCCCGGCCGGCGTGCTGCGCGCAGTATACAAGCGCGAGTATCCCAAATTCCTGAAGCGGTTCACCAGCTACGTGGTGGAGCAGTGCCGCGGCAAGCCCATCGCCATCTAGCGGCAACTGCACGCAACATGGCGCTACACGTGACTTATACAACACGTACACGCACTACTACGCGTACCTTCGAATAATTTATACTTCTCAGTCAAACGCCTGACTTCTTCTATCTCTTCGTCGGAACTGAGAACTATTCATACCGAAGTGTAGTGCAATTAGACGTTAAATAGGTGTTATATAATGTTAAAGGTTTTATTCAGGGTGGAGTTAGGATTCCCGTTTCATTGTACTCCGTTAAATTATACTTTCTTATCGATCTCCGTACCGTCCCGGTCTGGCATTCACACAAAACTGCTGGAACATTTTTCGTTTTGAAAACAGACTCGGGCCAGCAGTTCGAATTGAGATTCTTTTTTACTGTCATTTTATGAGACGAGAGAGATAACGTCATACGTCAGCTGTGCGTTAGACAGAGAGCAAACGTCGTGTCCGCCTGTTATACGCTAAATATCTTGTTCATTTAACATCTTATCTAACAGTACTTGTGTATAAAAAGATTGAAATAATCGTGCTGGATAAGATTTCGTTGCGAAACACGTATATGATCAAAATATTTTCAATCGGTGTTCGCATAAATGTTTAACTTCTACGTTATTTCTGTCTATATGTAGAACGCTTTCGATAATCGACAATAAATTCGTGTCGAATGTATAGTTCTCATTAAAAAAATGTAAATTGTACTTTAATGTGTAATTAGAACACTCTGTATGATATAATATATGTACCTACTATGTCGTTGGGTGTTATGGTAATACGATAAAATTTATACAACGTAATTCTATAAATAAAATGTATTCATTATAACGAATCTATATTTATATATAGATTCGTTATAATGGATTCTTCAGCTCCCATTTATATGGGAGCTGAAGTTTTCTTACTCACTAGATGGCCCAAATGTAGAAGGGGTTTTTTGTCCAATCACAGCTGTCAAATATTGAACGTCCAATGGTGTAATACTAGCTAATTCCCTATTGGACGAAGAACGGGTTCACACTAGTGCCATCTAGTGAACGCGGTTGGCACCATTGCTCTAAATTAAAAGCGATGTTGTGAAAAGATATTTGTAAAGCACTTTTGACTGCTATTTGTTCGTTCATTTTCTTCGATTAAATAACACGGTATTGGTAAGGCTGTACACTTAACTGTAGTGAGTATTGAAGCTTTTATTGTGAAAATATATGAGAGAATAATACTTCGACTGTATATTGATAGTGTACATGCATAAAACATAGGATATGAGAACTGTTGAAAGAACCAAGTAAGAGTGACACTCAAGCTTAGTTTTCTTACCGACTGCTGTAAAACTTATCTGTAAAAGTCTTTGTAAATACTTACACGTCGGATGGGTACTGTAGATAATATTTCTTCAATTCACAAATTGTAAAACAAGGAATCTCTAGCGAAAATTCTTTTCGATGCGCGTGCAAGTACCTGACGTAGTGTCACGCCGATATGAACCTTATGGCTGAACAATGTTATACTAATTATTGAAAAGATTTTATAGCAAGCATGTTTTTGTCTACGGAAGATTAGTACTTATCTTTTATAGAAGGACTTGGAATGTTTTTGATGAAGAGGGTAATATTCGGGTGGTGATAGTTGGATGTGTTCAGTTAGATAGTTCGCGAAAGAAAACATGTACTTTTGCACTTTCTGGGCTGTGAACTCGGAGAAGCGAGCCCTATCAATCAAAATTACATCAAAACCTAAAAAAATAAGGTCCAATGTCGTTTGGATGTGTCCTCGTTCGTGTTTCTCGAGGTCACGGCCCCAAATCCATTTCATGTACAGGGTGGAACTAAATAATTGTAGTTCTTAATATTATATCAACTATGTTATCTCGGTTTTTGACCAAATAAATTTCCTTTTCGCTTAAATTTAATGTGACATAATTTTATTTCAATATTTCATTAATAATTATAATTACCGGAATTGACATTTTTAATTGTTAAATGTATAATTATTTGTTGTAAAATTGAATGTATTTGAGTCGTTTGTTTGGTCAAAGCTTAATTTTGCACGAATTTTGATAGTGTTACTTGCGTCGTACTGTCTATTATTTTAATTACTTTGTATGCAAACTTCCATTCCAGCTTTTTGTATCGAATATCTGATTTTGTATACATTTTAAATTAGGTTTAATAAATGGTTACTTGGATGAACTTCAAATATATAATATTGTACAGAATTTCACGTTTTGTCTCAAAGTTAATATATTATTTGCTGTTATGTGACGGTGAACTGGTAACTTTTTTGTTCGACGTAGTAAAAAAGTTAACAGTGACGTCACGTCCTTAATGAAAAAGTTAAACGTGAGCGGAAGTGTAAGGAAATTGCATTTATAATACCGCAATGTTGCAATTGTATTAAGTTATATGAAATATGTTTTTTTAATAATTATTGTTTATAATAAAATGTTTTATGGACAGTTTCATCTTTTATTCATTTTTATATTCCCTACAAAATACAAATTATCCAATCAAATATCTTTATCTAGCGCTTATCTGCGGCATATGAGACCCAATAGAAAACACATTGTGTCTCGCGATCGCGTAGACCTACGTACGGCATACCACGAGTTAAAAATATAAATTAATGGTGAGTAATTACCATTAATTCTCGCTCTTATGAAATTGCCGTTTTGAATGAGAAAAATTGAAACTTAGCCAACTGACACAGTGGCAGTTTATTGATGCACCATTCTCAAAGAAGTTAGCTGGCCGGGAGTAACAAATTCATCAAAGGCATTTTGTACTGTCTTTCACTGATTGAATTTTTTTCCCACCAAGAAATTATACAAGTACTGGAAAAGTAAAAGTAGTGTAGGCGCAAGGTCAGGAGCCACCAACCCCAGATGCTGCTGAACTTGGAGACCGCCTGCTGTGCAGAATGAGGTCGCGTGTTGTCGTGCAGAAGAAGCGGTGACGAGCGATTGTCCAATGCTGGTTGGAGATGTGCCAGCCTGTCCATCATTGTATTCAGTTCTTCACAGTACCCATCTGCAGTAATGTTCACCCCGTTTGGTAAGAAGTTGTTAAATCACACCGGCGTTAGGCCACCAAACAGTGACCAGCACTTTTCTAGGGGAAGGTTTTTGTTTAAGGAATTGTTTAGGTGCTGAACCAGGATCCAACCAACTTGCTGAGCGCTTGCGGTTATCAAAAAGTCAAAAGTCAAAATCATTAAGTTCAATAACACTAGGAAGGCACTTTTTAACGTCAAAACAAAATATTGAAAAATATAAAAAAACAATGTCTGTCGGTCAGTCTCTAGTGAAGCTATTCGCTCGTTCCAAAGTGTAGATTCCTGTGGAGAAGGACGAGCAAGAAACTCCATAGGTTATTCTTTTACAATCAGGCTCACAATACTTCTTGGTTACGTTGGTTCAATTATGTCAGAACAATGTAACACCAGTAAAGTCAAGCGGAAAGAAAAAGAAAATAACCTTGAGGACATTAAATTTAATACAGCTCGAACTGACCGGTTCCAGTTGACAGTGCCCATTCACGAACATGACACGTATAGTACACCAGCACCGCCCAACTCAACCACATTATAGGGAATTGAGCGATCCACTGCACGTGCTACTGCCAATGAGATTCGAGTGAGCATGACAACTCCCAAGCTGACGGAAATGCATCCTACTAGTCGAATTTAATTTGGTTGGTTACAGGGCTCTCACATTTACAATAATTAGATGAAGTTTGACAGTGTACATTCGAACAACATGATTGGAACTCATTGAATATCAATGTTTTTCGTTATCCTGTGCAGCCCGACCAGCCTGTCTCCAAGCATTTTTATCCTGTCTATATAATCAGTAAGTTTGTAATAGGCTTGTTTAAATAACGTTTTTTATTACATAATTTAAATTTTGTTTCATTTAAGTGTTGTATTATCCATCGCAATTTTGTTATAGCATTTAACACTGAATCCCATAAATGACATAACATAACAGCAGGCCGTTGATCCCCCAAGGGGTAGGGAGAGGTGCACATTATGCCACTGCACAATGTAACACCCACTTTTCACTAATTATGTTATGAGTCCCATGTAATAGGGCTCACCCCCTATTAAATGGGATTTTTTAAAAACCAAGTAATAATTTGCCCGACCCGGGAATCGAACCCGAGACCCCGTGCCCGGCAGTCACACTTGCGACCACTCGGCCAACGAATCGGTCTTACCAGATCATAAACGACTTATGTACTTTTATCAATCTAAAAAGCGGCTGAATTAACTCGTCGAGTACCGGTTTTATAGACACAATTAAAGAACAATGGGTCGCGGTCACCGGTGACCGCTTGGTGTTTGACAGTTTAATCTATCCATATGTCTAGTTTTATTGTGGTGTCTGTCAGACACTTTACCAAATAACTGTAGGTTTCACCTGACATGCACAATGTTTTCATAAACAAATTGACATGGAACGGTCATAATATTGATCGTCTTACACTTTTCTCTGAGAGATTTGTGACGACCTAGGTTGTAGATAACTCTGACGGCACGCGTTTGTAAGGTAAAGATAGACTCCAGGTAAGAAAGATGAAGATGAAGACTGAATTACACTAGTCTTGCTGTGTCTATATCGGTTAACTGTCCAAACAGCATATGCTGCAGAGCTCAATCGTCCCGCTAAAGATAAAGCAATGTGAGGACTACATTGCAATTGGTCGTCTAAAGTAATACACAGGAATATAGTCTCTTTTAAAACTTCTAATTTCTGACTATTTAATAATAATATGTCTGTGAATAATAATAATAATAACATTCGTTACTTTTAACGTTTGGCAAACAGAATCCAGTTTTTATGGCAGGTAACAATGCGTTCAAAATTTCTTCATTTCTGTGTCTGTTGAGCTGTGCAAGTCACGTCTCGAAGCGTAGGTACTTAGCGTTGGCGATCATGGAGTTCGTGGGGGTTCGTACTCATTTGACAAGCTTTTTTACCTTGCCAATTTGACGTACCTAAATGGACCAATATCGTTTTCACGCTAACGTCGAGCTGCTGCTAATTCAGCCGTAGATTGTGTATCATCATCTTTCACAATCGCTTTTTTTTATAGCATAATCCGGTAAACGAGCAGACGGTTCACCTGATGGTAAGCAATCGGCGCCGCCCATGGACACCTGGAACACCAAGGCGTTACAAGTTATCTACCTTTTGGGAATTGGGAATTTGAGGATTGTGGAGGATTCGGGGTTTCAGTAGACTAGGGAGGGGGGTAATTGAGCCTTTAATTCATGATTGTGACCAAGTAGGATTACCTGATGCTCCAGATCTTCATTATGAGTTGATACGACTATATGTGCTTGACAGGAACCATCACAATAGGAACCATCGGCTCTCAGCAGTACCTACTTCCCGGACGGCTGCACCTGCGAAATCTCCAATTCCAGGCCTCCATGAGGTCTACCCGGATTGTAACTTGTTCAAGGATAAGTACTGATAGAAGATAAGCCTCTAATGTCTGTTTGCCTGGTGTATTGTGAGCAGAACCACATATAAAAATGTTGTTATGTCTCTGTTCTCAAATTATTATTATTATTTTAATTTAATTATGTTGTATTATACCTATTTGTCTTTGTTTAACGTGTTTTCTGTGTGTCTAACTTTAATTAAGGTTTTGTAGTTTTACCATATTTTCTCATTTTATATTATGCCATCATCATCATCATCATCAATAGCCGGAAGACGTCTACTGCTGGACAAAGGTCTCCCCATTAGTCCTCCACGTTGAACGACCACTCGTCACCTGCAATCACTGGCTGCTCCTCCACTTTTTTATATTATGTACCTACCTACTTTAATTTAGTTTTCTTTTTGATAAATTTAGTAATTTAATTTGATTAATATTTGTTGGTGTATCCGTGTCTTCAATAAACAATAAATAAATAGCTTGTCGACCAAAGTCTTCGGATGACCGCAAGGTTCATTTTTCAGGTCGAACGAGGCAAACCAATAACAGGCGGTGCGTTGGTTTGTAGTGTTAGCTCCGTAAACGTCGTTAATGTTGCGTGCCGCTTGTGGCGCGATGCTGTCTCGACGATACTCATGTTCCTTAATTATCGATTTTTTAACGCATCCATGATGACGAAAAATATTGAAATAGGATGAAAAAATAACACTAATCAATTAATAATTACTACTTTTGGAATTACGTTTTTTAAATAACATTTATTTGATATTAGAATTGTTAGCCAAACAAAAAATATAATCTATTTTTTTTTGTTTCAAATAGTAGTAAGTTAAGTAAGTAGTACTATTACTACTTACTTAACTTACTACTATTTGAAACAAAAAAAAATAGTTTTTAAATAGTTCAAATCAATACTATTCATTGGCCAGTACCTGAACAGAAATTTCATCGGCAGACCTAATATGTATAGGAGGGAATACGTGGGAAATAAAACGTTCATATTTATCACTTCTTTGTGAAGTGTTTTGAATCTTTATTCATTTTACATTAACATTAATTAATTGGTACTCATACAAGTTATGCATAGCACACGTCTCCGCATATAAAATTCACAACAATGTAATTTTATCTATTCTCCACATTTAAATATGGGGGTCCAGCCCCCGTTACCTTAATACATATAAATCCTCAAACATGACCAACTTACATTAAACTCAATATAAATAGAAATCAGTTGGATTAGGTGTTGACTTGTCTACATTAACACAAACATGTACAAACGACTGCAAGAGACTAAGTAAACCCTGGGATAGGACGAAATCATTTCCACCGAAGGACAATCCCAAATCAAGATTAGATAATCATTAAAATCTAATTAAATTGAGCTAACTATAACAAAAATTAACTAATTTGATCATTAGAATTTGTTAGTAGGCGTATTACGTACGTTTTGGTAGGTTCACATAAATTATATGAGATTGAACACCGCGACCTAATCAAATACAGTACAACGACGGCGTAGCAAATCGAACTACGTAACAATATTGAAGTAGGTATTGTAAAACATTAACATTAGACCGCTATGTATTGACATTGAGCACGAGGAAGCGTATTTTATGATCTCATTACTATCGTAGTATCCACTATAGTACAACTCTTAAATACCAGCGTCATATAGACGAATACATCATTCAATAATCGCTATTACATATAATATATGTTAGACCTTATTCGAATACAATAAATTATATTATTAAAGAAATATTCAAGTGTTCTAATATATCTATTAATAAATAACATTAACATTTATAATTGTTAAGTATAAAATGTTATAAAATATTCCCCAGGAATGAAACGAAAGTATCTACGTAGATTTATTGTTCAACAGTTACTTTTTATCAAATTTCATTCAAAAAATTTGGAATTTTGATATGATTGAGGCCGAAAGTGCGCACTACAAAAAGTTTTTTTTATAAAAATAGGAATTCTTTGAAAGCTCAAGTGTATAAATGGACCAATTGTTCAATAGTATAACAATATAAGAAGTAGAGCAATACTTGTAAAGTTTGGTGCGATTCTTGTGGCGAGGGCATTAAGGTGAAGGCTTCAGATTGATACAGAATCCCAGATCCTAATAGATTTTAAGATAAAATTCTTAAGAAACGTTTGCCCTCACTACTTACGAATCATATTCTACCAGTAACTAAATGTAAGGTGTTGTGAAGAGGTACTGTCATGGGATGCAGTGAGAAATGATAGTAACACCGCTAACGAATGAAACATGGCCAATCAATAATATGGCACTTATATCACGGACATTGTAAAACATTATAACATTACACAATATGTAACTACGACACCTACCCGTGTATATGGCAACTTGAATACATTTGTGGATTATGCCGATTGTCCAGTGAATCCACAGACGACATACAGACATTATAGAGAAGCACAACATATTGTATTTTGTTTTTCTATTAATGTCATAAAATGCTTTATTTATTAGTAGATCATTACACGCCTTTACGAGGTCCGGACTTCGCGTATTCGATACGATAAAGTTCAGAGACAATAAAGGCGAGTGTATAGTTCAGCACATCACTAGTAAACATCCTATCACACAAGTTAAAACATTAAGTACACACAAAGCCAGGTAAACTCATGCCATCTGTGGACAGTTAATGAAATCCAATGATACATCGATGCAGTAAATATTTTGCATTCAATATTACCTAATAAATACGACTACTTAAAAAAGTAGATATCAACAATTATAATTTAAGTGATATCCACTCTAACACGGATATATTATAAGTATAAAATAAGCGTATTATCGGACTCATCCGTCAGGCAAGCTTGCCTATGATCCGTTTCAGACTTATAACGTTGACATCCATACTCGGTCCACTCGTGCGCAGCCGTGGCAGGCAGACAGACAGACAGACAGACTCCTGCACGGGGGGACGGCGCGCGTGTAGCTGGGTCTGTGAGACCCGGGGCTGGGGCTCTACTCCTCGGTGGTGGTGGTGGTGGTGCCGGCGGTGGTGGGGTTGGTGGCGGTGGTGGCGGAGGCGGGGGCGGGCAGTGCGAGATGTCTCTGTGCGCGGCGCACGTCGGCGAGTGTGGTGACGCCGGCGTCGTCCAGTTCGTGCCAACGTGCGTGGTTCTGTCGAGCGTGGTTCACTAGCTCTGGCATGTCGATGAACCCTGGAAGGATAAACATTCATTGAATTAATATCATCTTATCATAGTTCTTCTGTTCATTATGTATTTACTTTCACTAGATGGCGACACTGTCGAAAAAGATAACCAACTCAAGACTGCAACGAATCAAAACAGGTAGAAGTCGGTAATGAAAGGTTATGAAAGTACCACTTACCAGCCCAGGCCTCCATCATGTCCATGATGATGTAGTCAATGAACCCTATCTGTGACCGCGGTATAGAGCAGGTGGCGCGGTCGAACATCGGCATCACTACCGACAGGTCCTTCGCCTTCTCCTCGTCCGTTTGAAGGAAGTATTCTTCCGCGATCCTGAAACATCAAGGAAGCGATTTAGAGCTTACTGAACGGTACATTAGACAACGCACTGCGGAATAACATTAGATTATGAACTATTGGATTTTTAATAATGCTATATTAATATATGTCTGTAATTGTTATCTAGAAGTCGTATACAAAAGTATACGCTAAAATTCATCCGCAAAAAATGTTCAAATGTGGATCATTTCCGAGATCTTGTAACACTGGTGATCATTTCACAATCGGGGTCCACAGCATAAAGACTATCGTAGTGGTCTTTCGTAGGTACTACTACTACATTAAATAATACCAGGGACTCACCTCCTAGCCCACTCGAAGGCGAACTTCTGCGGTCTTGACGCGTTGGATACGTCCGCGCATTTGATCATCATCCTCTTCACCAACACCACGTTCTCTGGCAGTGACAGCGCTGTCGTGTCCAGAGCTAGTGGCTCTTGCTGTAATAAAAGTAACTAGATTCAGTATTTTATCTTCTGTTCTAAGTTCTGGTCAAAAAATAAAGGGTGTTTTTTCGCTTCTGACGTAAATTGTTCACGATCATAATTATAATCGTTTTCTTACCATCATATTTTTCCACTACAATAAAAAATGAAGACTTCTTACAAATATCGGTAATGGTACATTTACGACAAATAAAATTAAAGGCTTTTACAACAATAGTAAGAAAAGTGCTAGACTATAGAGTCTTGGCTGAATAACTCACATCAGTATGCATATTATCCTCCTTGCTGCCGCTGGACTTGGCGTAGAAGACGTTGACGAACTTGGCGAGATGTTCGAAGTGCTTCGTCATCTCCGTCGCGAGGATCATGTCGATCACATTGTGCCGGACCTGCTTGTATGTGTCGCGCTCCAAGTTCTTGAAGATGTTTACTCGGTCATCGTCTGTAAAGAAAAGAATAGTTTTAGAAGGGATGAGTATTTTTTGCGCTAATTTTGTATACTCAAAATTATAAGAATGGATTTCTTCTAATGTAATTTTAATTAGCCAGAACTCAGTATCATACAAGTGGTTGTAGAGTAGATTGACGAACGCGATGGAATGAAAAAAGTATTTCCGTGTTTGTAACATACATAGTTTTCGATAAGCTTTTTAAGGTTTATAAGGCATGTTTTAGATTTGTACCTATAATTGGCTTTATGTATGTTGCTATGCTTATTGTTATAGTTATCTGGATTAACTGTTGCATCTTGTTCATCTTTTATATATATAATTCTTCTGTGAGTGTGTATGTCACTGAACTTCTCTCAAACGACTGGACCGATTTTGATGAAATTTTTTGTGTATGTTTAAGGGGATCTGGGAATGGTTTAGATTCACAAATCAGCCCGGCAGATGGCGCTGCGGTCGATGTTTAGGTTATTTATCCTAAACAGCTGAACTACTTTGAATGAATTTTTTTTCTGTGGATATGCAGGACAACGTCTGTTGGGTCCACTAGTATTATTATATAAATAAGTGTACTGACTAAGAGTGAGCTTGAAGGTGAGTGCGGCGTGGTGCGACTCCAGCACGCTGACGTCGTTGTAGAGCACGGCGAGCGGGTGGCGCGCGTTGCACAGGAAGGCGGACGACGTGCCGGGGTGGTCCACGTCGTGCGCCGCCGCCGCGATCAGCGCCGCCGCCGCCTCCAGCGGCTCCAGCACTGTCTTCAGACGGTCCTTCTCCAGGAAGTACGCTACAGCCTGGGATAAAAGGTGTTCTTTGATATTTTGTAGGGTTGGACCTAATATACTACCCTAGGGAACGCCGTTGACGGTAACATACTGTAGTTTCTTGGTATCATTAATTAAAACTTTCTTTTAGATGTAGGTGATACCAAACGTATGTAGTTTATTATGTTTAAAACTAGCTAACCGGGCAAACTTGGTACGGCCTTAACATTTTTTTCCTTTTCTGAACTTCCACGAACATTTTAAGACCAGAATTAGCCAAACCGTTTCAACCGTTCTCGAGTTTTAGCGAGACTAATGAACGGAAATTTATTATTATTTATATAGATTGTACAATTTAATGGAATATCGTGTTTTAAGGAACAAAATTGTTACCTGAAGCACATCAGCAGCGTGTGTAGAGTTATGATAAGTATTGACAGCGTGGTAGTTGGTCTCCACGATAGTGAGCCAGTGCAGTAGAGTGCGCTCGTCACACTCCAGCGCTGCGCAGATATCGAACCTTCCTCCCATGAGAGCCAGACCAAGGTGAGCCAGTGGCCTTCCACGGGTCAGTTCCTCTAGCTTGAAGATCTCAAAGTCCCAGCTTAAAGCCGTATCTAATAGCTCTCGGAGTTGGCCTGTCGTCTGGGGAAAGAATAAAGAAGATCTCGAGTTAATGTTAAGTATTTTGACAATTAGTTTTGGGGTTATTTAAGCCTTTAACAGATTGGACGTTGATTTGAATGTCGATTTACATAAACAAATTGAATAACGCTTAAAGGTGCTCTCACACCGGGAGCATTCGCGTGTAATGTAACGTTACGGGTCAGAGCATTACATGAGTGAAGGAGAAGAACCGAGCACACCTTGTAATGATACAATGTGTAATATCTTGATACAACTTGTAACATCAATACTCAAAGTCGAATCAATATGTTACATTACATGCAAATGCTCGTTAGTCAGGGAGGTATTATTGTAATGTAATGCTCAAAGTCGAATCTATAATGTTACATTACACGTGAATGCTCCCGGTGGGGGAGCACCTTAATAGACCCGTTGTAGGCAATTCTATGTTGAGAACCTCCTTTGCAGCGCGATAAGAAAAATGGCGGTAACGTGGTGTATTCGAGTTCGCGTTCGCGCTAAAATTCAAAAATCGAAGCCCCGCGCCTCGCTCGAGCGAGCTTCGCGCTCCCGCCAACAGTCGCCGCCGAAACGTGAGCGATTGTGTGTGTGTTGGAAACGCTCCGTTGTCCCGCCATTTTTCTTAGTTTCTTGAATTCATTGTGGACACATCCCTAATCTGTTAATTTGTTACACCCGTTGTCACACATTTCGATTTTCTGACTATTATAAATAAAATAAATAAATAAAATTCATTTATTTCAGGCAACATGCCCATAGAAAATAGAAAATAGAAATTAGAAAATAGAAATTATCATGACATTGGTTTCTCTCTGCATCACCCAAAGGTTCGACAAGTCCACTTATGTCCTAGTTAAACTAGGACATAACTGGACTTGTCGAACTTTTGGACTTGTCCATAAAGTTTATTAAATAAATACATAAAAGATCTTCGAGAATAAAATACGTCATATTACCTTGTGCTTGATATTGCTCCTGTTGGTCTGCGATCTGACGACAGTGGAGTCATTGCTGCTTCGACGCGACGACAACGTGTTGGTCGGTCCCTGCTGCAAATTTTAAACATTTATATTTTATTAATATGTTTCTATTATTGTTCAATGCTGTCTCTTCAACATGCTTTAATAGAGGTTTTTTATTTTGGAGTTTAGAGTTCGTTTTTTATTAAATGCAACTCGATTAATCGTAATTAAGCATGCTTTAACCATAAATTAGTTTTGTTACACAAGAAATAGAAATTCTTTTTATTATGTTCCAAAAGTAAATTGATTAGTTTTATTATCTATGGTACAATTTAAACGTAACTTAAAAAAATACTACAAACATATTTATTTATTGGGAGTTTTTATAAAGACGTCACAATTGAATATTATTCACAATATTAGTTGAATGTAATTATAAAAATGGTTGGTTAAATTATATTGTTATTTTTGTGTTTTGAAGAGATGACTATGATGATATAAGATAGGTACTAGTATAGGCAGAAATAGTGCTAAACACGATACGTATAGTGCTACATTCCGAAACTTGGACAGAATTGACAAAGATAAAAGTGATTACCCAGGGTCCCATTTTATATTCATATTTATTTATTTTATAGTATAGGATCTCCAGCAACAGATGTATGAAAATTAATATATAAATATTGATAGGAGCTAATCGATATTAAAGCAAATATAATAATAAAAGGAAATAAAACTGAATATCTAATATTATTTTGTGTTTAAATATTAGAGGTATATGATTTCATCTATACTTAGACCAAGATCGACGTGTTGTTTGAAAACAAATAATAAAAATCTGTTTGCAACAATAGCAACTTGCTCTTGGTTTTTTTAGGGAATAAGAGGCAAACGAGCAGACGTATCACCTGATGGTAAACAATCGCATGGATGTACCACCAGTGGAGTAACAGGTGCATTGCCGGCCTTTAAATAAGAAATACGCTTATAGCGACATCATACATACAAATATTTGTATCTCGTTTCTGGACAGTAGTCCAAAAATGTGGTGGCCCGGAGGTTTAAGACGCCCACTTCTCATGCATGAGGGTGCGGGTTCGAAACCTACCAACGGCAAGTACCAATGTGACTTTTTCCGAGTTAAATGTACTTTCTAAGATTATTTAGACACCACTGACAAACGGTGAAGGAAAACATCGTGAGGAAACCTGAACTTATAATTTCTAATTATAAGTTTGAAATCGCCAACCCGCATTGAGCAAGCGTGGTGATTTATGCTCTAACCTTCTCCGTGTGAGAAGAGGCTTTGCTCAGCAGTGGGCATTTATAGGCTGTTGATGATGATGATGATGAGTCCAAAAACGTACCAAACGTCACTTTCGAGACAACTAGGAGTTTCTAACAGAAGTCAAAAACTTACGTCTTTTTTAAGACGATTTGGTTCATTGTTTCTTAGTTAGGTATTCTTAGGTAAAGACTGCACGATTGGCGCGGTGGTTGGGCAACTGGCTGCTGATTGTTGTTCCGGGTCTGGGTGTCATGTGTATGTGAACTTGTATGTTTGTAAACGCACCCACGACACAGGAGAAAATCCTAGTGTGGGGCAACGTTCTATTTAAAAGAAAAAGAAAATAATGGTAATCTAGTTCTGACGGAGGTAATATGAGGTATGCTGGTTGTGTTATGGTAATGTCTGTATGATGTCGCTATACGCTCTATGGTACTTGTGCAGAGGCCTTAGTACGAGTTTGATTAACGTTTAAGGTATTCGAAACGCGTACGCGTTCGGCAATCTGATTGGCCGGCCCCAATGAACCAACCAGGCCTCAGGTATCCTTGTACTACCTCACAGAATTATTACTAAACAGGGTAATATAAGTTGCAGAGAAGGAGAGAATCGACGTGACGCAGTTTATGGTTTGTTTAAAAATATTTCATATCGATCTTGGTTTAAGCATATAGTCATACAAATCAAATTATTTGTACGTATATAATAAATAGACAAACAATAGTATCTTAACTAAAAATCGCGGGTTCTAAAATTTATTCACGTGAAAATACTAAAAAAAGCTCTACTAGTTTCGAACTACAGAGGGGGTTCTTCCTTATGAGCAGCGTGCGCGGTCGCGGCGATGTCGCGCAGCTTATCGTAGTAGCCTATGTCGCGTAAGCTCCGCGACCCACTTTGTGGTTCGAAACTAGTAGAGCTTTTCCCAGTATTTTCACGTGAGTAACCCGCGATTTTTAGTTAATTTAGTACGTCTCACGATAGTTAATAAAAAACAATAGTATCTTACTTCAAATCGTAATAAAAATGAGCCCTGTGTAATATAAGTGAAAGCGTGAACGATAGAGAACTATGTACTATCTAAGTACACTATATTTGAAGGTATAGACAGAGACGGTTGTAATTTCAAACGTCCTACCATATAATATAAGTTTGTATTCACTTGCTCCCTCTGGCCAGCGAACAGGATCGTAAACAAATAAATACCAATGTTAGTACATATATAGACAACGTTACATGCATAAAATACTTTAATAAATAATCTACATCACACAGGAATATAAATAAAATATAGATTACAATACTGTATCGTAAAACATTAGGCGTATTATCTACATAAACTTAATATCATTATAATCTTAGGGACGGAATACAACATCAATTTGTATTGCTTTTTAATTAAAGTGCGGGGTAATAATATGTATTGATAACATAGTATATATTTAACATAACAAACACAATACTAATCATTAAATTTTGCACCTTAACATGTGTGTAAATAAGGATAATTTCATTTTACTAACCGACAGTAAAGCTCCAATGAGGTCCGTAGCTATCGGATCTTCGACACGCATTTTAGGGTCATCCCTCATTTGTGGAGAGTAGAGCTCGGAGGTCCTCAGCATGTCAACAGCCCTCTCGATATACGCCACCGTCGATGGAGGAGCACCCTCAGTTGCCGTGGACAAGAGTGATATCACCTAGTAACACACAATTTTAAACCTTTTTTAACAAGAAATAAAATTGTCTACATCATACGGAGCTTCAATGTGTTCTTGTAATGAATGTTGAGATTAAAAGCAAGTTGATTCACAGCTTTTTATCGGACAGTGTTGCTATTCTACGCCCTATCACATAAAGGATGTTTTAATAATTATAATCTGAATCATTGTTTGTCAACACACGACATGTTGCAACGCCATTTTAATGATATCATACGAGTAAACTTAATAGTAAAATTACAAAGAGAATAGAATAGTCTAGAAAGGCTAAAACGTAGTAAAATTGCCTGATAAGATAAGCTTAGAATTACAGGTATTTTGCTAAAGTTTTGTTTATGTACACTATTTTCTCATTACGGCTATCAGAGACTATGAAAATTTATTGCTTCGAACTTTTATCTGTAGGTAGAAAGTTGGTAATAATGATACTGAAAGCTGAACGAATGAAACAAACGCTGTAATATTAATATGTGAACATAAACCGACTCGTATATCGAATAAAGCGGTTTCTAATGACATAGGTAATAACAATTTATTAGGCCACGTGTGTCACATAAAAATGTAATTTCTTATATAAACAGAGGCACATGCTGTGTTCTTTTATATGTTTTTAATTGTCTACTGGATATAAGCGGTTACTATCGTAATAGTATCTGAAATCTAAGATTGAATATTATTGATTACCACACCTTTGATAGAAGTTTCCGTACGATACATTTAAATATCGTAAGTCATAGTTAGATAATTCAACTTGATACACTTTACAAATATTTTTATGAATTTTATTTTATTGTCATACATATTAATTGTCATTTCCACGATAATATCTTTACCAAATATTTACCTTCGTAATAGGAGCTTCAAGCGGCAAGCCTTGGAGCTTAGCAAGAGACGTTCTTCGGAGGCCATCGGATGCGACGGAGCGAACATCGAGGGATCCTCGCCGGATGGAGTGCAAGGATCCTCTGCCGCGCTCAGTTTCCAACGCGTGGATCGGCTCACACACGAACACCACGTGAGAAGTGCTCCTGAGGGCAGAAGAGATGAGTTAGAAAGGTTAGGTGAGGAAGGTTCTTGTTTAAAGATGCAGCTATATACGTCTTGTCTGAAAGCATGCCTGCACAACCCGATTTGCGCATGTATGCGTGCGAGTAGACGACAATACCACAGACCACAGGAAAACAGGGCAAGAATGTATAGCTCGCACAATCCGGAATGTTCTGTGTTCTTGTACAGTCATGACTGCCCAGGTTCAAACAAGACCGAGCGTGTAGCCGGACCATAAGCGTGTTAGTTGGAAATTGGCTACGTAATTAATTCTATTAGATAGTTTTAAAGTCTATAAATGGATAGCTGCCATAAGTCACAGCAAATTGGGAAGTGTGGGAGAGCCATGCTTCGGCACGAATGGGCCGGCTCGACCGGAGTGATACCACGACCTCACAGAAAACCGACGTGAAGCAAAGCAGGTTACCGGAGGCCCAATTACCCTCCCCTTCCCCAATCTCCCCAACACCTGAATCCCCAACGATCCTCAAGCTCCTAATCCCCAAAAAGCCGGTAACGCACTTGTAACGCCTCTGGTGTTCCAGGTGTCCATGGCCGACGATTGCTTACCATCAAGTGAAATAATGGAAATGAAAACGTACCCGGATGGTTATTCTAGGTGAACTAGTAATGAGTAATGAGTATCTCGGGTTCTGATCGTGATAACTGTGGTCAGCAATGTACGACCACAGGAATTTTGTATCAACCACACAAACATAAGTTAGTAGGCATCAGTATCTAAGAATGTAACTCTACTATTACTACGAAAATCACCCTTATTGCTACATCTTAAAAACGTTAATTGTTCACACGTATCAGCGGATGTAAATAAAGTGTTCTTTTTATTTTTAGACGAGGTGAAATGTTACCTAATGTGTATACTATACCTAAATCTTCTTTTGAGTTTCAAAACCAATAAAAAGAGCAATGAAAAAGGTAGAAAATATGGATGAAGTTAATAAGATACATTTAAGGAAGCAATGATAAACTGCCATGATTTGGAAAGTTATTTGATTGTAAGTAAAATTTATTCTATAGAACTTACTTGGTGAGCCCAATGGCAGCACCTCGGCAGGGTACCAGGACAGGATCTGGAGCGGTGCGGCGGCGCAGTGTGACGGGAGCCTCCCAGTCACGAGCTCCACTGGTAGCCAGCCTTATGGCTTCGCCCCCAGCAGTGTCAGATAGCTGCTTCGGACCTTCCTCCACGCGCCATCCCAGGACTTTAGACCAGGACTTATTCGCCAGCTAAACAACAGACGAACACATTTTCATTTACTTGTATTTGCGGCTTCATTTACACAGCACTGTTGAATTTATCACCTTTTAGAGTTGCCTCGCACTTCCAAATAATATAGTTTGAAAACTAAATAATACCTAAATTGGTGTAGCCGTTCTTGACGGTAGAAACAGTAAAAGATTTTTCTATACTTTGTTGATAGACAGAAATTAAACTTCGCACAATTATTCGTACATTGGAAAATATTCCCGCGTGCTCACATGCGTATACGCAGCGGCTCAGCGATAGACTAAGGGCCGTTACAATTATATTTGTATATTTACATCGTTTAATAATATGGTTGTTATTGTATATATACAATGTTTTTCCTCTGTCGTAATCACGCAATTTATAAATATTATGTGCGGTGTACCTAATCACACCATATTCAGTATTGATAATTTATTCGCTCGTAATTTGAATTAACCTTTCATGGTACTAAAGTACCTCAACTCGTGTAGTTATTGCATAACAGCTTCCAATTTCAATATAGTTTTATAATTATTATTTATATTATTTACTTATATTATTTGTTTACTATGAAAATGTTACAATCGACAATACACAGGTTTTTTGGATATGCTGGTCATATCATCATGATAATATGCTAGATAACATGAGAGTTTCATTATACTCAATGGTGTACTTACGAGTATCTTCTGCTGTTCATCAGTGACGGCGATGAGATCACGGCAGCGGTCGGCGGCGGCGGCGAGCGCGGCCACGGCTGCTATCTGAGCCCGTGCTGCGGATCCTGCAGCTCGCGACTGCAGGACTTCAGCGCACCACGCTGTAGCGCTTAGAGTCTCCACCATTATCTGTGAAGGATAGACGAATTACTTAAGTGAAGTATTAAACTATTCCAATACTCCTTTCTAGCTGTAACGACGAGCAATACAGTTTATACCATAAACAACGTTGACTTTAAATGTTCAAAGAAAGAGCACACATTTTATAACAAACACGTTTAATGAGGCCTACTGTATTTTTACTCACCAGATAGCGTAGATGTAGTAAAAGAATTTTGTCCAATCACAACAGCTGTCAAATATTGAACGTCCAATGGTGTAACACTAGCTGATTCTCTATTGGAGGAATAACGAGCGGTTCACACTAGCACCACGTAGTGACCAGAAATACGATAGGCCTCATTTGTTGGTTACTACATGTTTGGTTTTGAAGGGAATTAAATATTACATGATGACATGATTAAAGTATTTTCTACCAATAGTATGAGATTACTTAATAGCTAGTGGTGCGTCTAGTGATACATTGAAAAACCTACTAAGCTTTCGTACGACTATGTACAAAAATGCAAATTATAAGTTACTAACATATTCAGGGTTTGAAGTCGTATTTATCGAAGATTGTTCATGATTTCAGGTACTGTAACATTTACAATACGAAAATCAGTTTTTTGTATTCTGTGAAAAGAAAATTAACGTTGGTTTTCTTCCTTCAGTTTTCCGAATTATTAAACTATCTAATCGAAACAGGCGCCAATAACATAAATACGAATAATATTCAGAGTTATCACAAGTAACAAACTCCACAAACATAGCAAGCAAAACTAGAACCTGAGCTACAGAACGGGAAATAGTTTCGAATTTAATGAGGGGGTCGTCATGTGATACGAGTTCCGATAGGGGTGTTGCCTGCACAGTGACGGATTTGACATGTAACAAGCAAAAGAGGCCCCGCGCGAAAAGGGCCCCGCGTCCATTCTTATTTCTACAACTTATTTATTTCCCTGGAGGTAAAGGGAACCGAACAGCTATTTTTTTTATGGCGTAAGCCGGTAAACGAGCAGACGGATCACCTGATGGCAAGCAATCGGCGTAGCCCATGGACACCTGGAACACCAGACACATTACAAGTGCGTTACCGGCCTTTTGGGGATTAGGAGTTTAAGGGTCGTTGGGGATTCAGGAATTGGGGAAATTGGGGAAAGGGAGGGTAATTGGGCCTCCGGTAACCTCACTCACACGACGAAACACAACGCAAGCGTTGCTTCACGTCGGTTTTCTGTTAGGCCGTGGTATCACTCCGGTTGAACCGGCCCATTCGTGCCGAAGCATGGCTCTCCCACACTCATCAAAGCTATTTCAACAAGTCCTCAATGATCAATCACTAATCCCCAAAAGGCACATTGTCGGCCCAAAAGGCTCAAATGTTGTGGGTGTCCATGTGCGGTCCATGGACCGACACCCACAACATTCAACGGGCAAACGAGCAGACGGATTACTTCATCATGAGTCTGCTCGTTTGCCGCCCTGTCCCTACTTAAAAACTTAGGTTAAGGTATGATTCCTGAGACACTATGTTTAAGGTCGAGGGCCTAGAATTTGTAACGTGTTGTAAGGCCGAGGGCCTCTCAATATTTGCAACGGGTCCCGCTCCTGATTAATCCGTCCCTGGACCTACCTTCATACAAGTTGTGAGGACCCAGAGATCATTACTCAAACTGAGGGACGCGAACTTTATAGAAGGATATTGTTTTGATTTTGATATCCATTGTCAAGTCTAATTAAAAAGTTACATTGAGGAACAATACACAGTATAATGTTTGATGATAAAATATAAAATTACATTATAACTTTTGTGTTTTTGGCTATTTCATAGAACAAAGCTTGGTATGACAGTTTTTGCAAATCTACGAGAAATAGTGGCTTCAAAAATATCACAGAATATTTTGTAAAAAATTTGTTTTTTTTTTTTTGAGTTAGTTATTTGATTATTTGTAAGCACCACAATATTTCATCAGTACACACAAATACTCCTACAAAATGTTGCAATACGTAAATTTGCATTGAAAATAAGGCAACCGACTAAACAAAGAGGCAGAATATACCGAGTTCCATTCAAAGTCACTGAAGGGAAATTAAAGATGACAACTGGCAACCCCATTACTAGTGTACAATGGCTTCTGATTACGCGTGTTACTTACTGGGTCAGTTTCCAGTCGACTTTCAAGTAAAGTGGCAACATTTGCATAAACACACTGCTATTAGTCTTGGGGAGCTCGTTGCAAAGTTACGATGCCGTAGACTAAATCGGTCTTCAGTTAAGCTACTTTTACTGATGTCAGTCTTTAGATGAGTGACGGTTTTTCAAATCTAGGAGCTTTTCTATTGATAACTTGTAAAGTTGGCTAGTATCCTAAATAACGTAGAAGATAATTACATAACTATATTTATCATTTATATTACATAACATAACATCACGCCTTTTATCCCCGACGGGGTTGGCAGAGGTGCACATTACGGCACTTAATGCCACTGTACAATGTAACACCCACTTTTCACTATTTATGTTATGAGTCCCATGTAATAGGGGGTGAGCCTATTGCCATATACCGGGCACACTTCCAGACTCCGTGCTACTACTGAGATTTTTAAAAACTCAGTGATACTTTGCACGACCCGGGAATCGAACCAGAGACCCCCTGTCCGGCAGTCGTACTTGCGACCACTTGGCCAACGACGCAGTCATTTAACTCGTCGAGTACCGTCATTATAGACACAATTAAAAAACAATAGGTTGCGGTCACCGGTGACCGCTTGGTTTTTGACAGTTTAAATTAGTAACTATAAATTATTAAAAGTATTGAAAAGGATTGGTCTAGGAGTCTCTGTAAGCATCTACGTACGAATACTCTTTCAAAAAGCTAAACTTCATTACTTAGCAGGAAGCTAAAAACGAATATTTCGAAGTATAGACGCTTACCACCAGGACGTCGGCCTATCAAGTATAAAAAAACATTCAGCATTAAGTATTAGTTAATTTCAGTAAAGTGCTGATGAACCGAATCTAGTAAATACATTTTTATTTTATTTATTTATTTCTTTATTTCAGGCAACTGTGGCCCATATAAAATATAATACACAAATAAAAATACAATACAAAACTAAAAAATTACAGATACCAAAAAATTAAAACATCAATTAAGTAATAGATATACAATAACAAAATAATTTTTAAAAGGCCCGAAGAAGGATAGGCATACTTTAATACTATTAGTTCAACTCAATCTTCTTTTGTAAAATCACCATAAAATATGTATCGAGGCTAATTTTCTTTAGTCACGTTAATAACATTGTCCCTTGTAACACGGGGTTTTACGCATTGACGTTTACTGAAGGATTTTTACTATGAATATGTAGTTGTTTTCTTATTTTTTGTTTTGTCTAAGTTGTTTTGTAAACAATACAAGGCCAGGGTAGGACTTATTGTGGTTGAATAGTTATGTAGATACGTAATTAGTTGTCGGAATTTACGGCTTGTTTTCGGAGAATTTTGACGTTGATTGACACGTGTAGTGTAGGACATTATTCGTATTTCAAAGAGTATTAAGTCTTTTATTTTTTTAAGAATAAAGGACATCACATAGGTCACACTTGAGGGTTTGGATATTTTGTCACATATTAGTTTAATCATAGGAATCGATTAATAAATATGTGAACAAAGGAAAATAACCTAAATCTGTTTTTCATATGAATACTATATGTAACGCAGGTTCTAGGTTTGTATTCGTAGAGTATTTTTTAAAAGTAAAGATTTTTTATTATATTCTACTTATTATATTTTATAATTTGTACAGTTGAACAACAGTAACATGTTCTGACAGGGTTTATAAAATTAATAATTCCGGAAAAGTAAGTATTGTGTATTAATTTTCATTTTTGAATTTTGAACGCACGTAATATGTAAAAAGGACTTAATTCAGTTTCGGTTCCTGGGATGACATCAACAGTACGGAAACAGAAATATTTAAAGAGAAACTCTGAAAGAGGTAGCTATTTTTGAGTGATGAAAATCCCCATGATTAACATTAAATACCTAAGTTATTGTTTTTCAGGCAGGTATGGGGAAATATTCATTACGATCCATTAACATAGGTATAATAGTTTAGTAAATGTACATCTTTATTTACAAACATTAAGTTAAAGATATTAAATTTAAGATTAATATTAAATTAAATAAACATATACAACGTAAAATTTAAATAACTAAAAACTAAAATATGAACACCTTAAAAAAGAAAAAAAATGCTAAAGGCATAAAAAAAATCCGCATCGCTATCGTGAGGTAGTGTGCTCAAAGAAAAAAAAAAAAAAAAAAAGGTGCTCAAAAGACTGGCAGCATTGCCACGTTGAATGGCAATGCTCAACCTTTGCCCAAGGTAGTAGCCAGCCCTTCGATCACCTGGAGTGTCAACCATCCTCCTTACAATGTCTTTGTAAAGAAGATGTGCACTTGGGCCCCACGGGACTATAGATTAGTAAGGTATTCATGCACATGCTTGCAGTGTTGAATTAATGTTGTTATACTTACTCGATTATAACCAGCATCCAAGTACGGGAGTACCGCGAAGTCATCTTTCAGGTAAACACTGCAACAAAGAGACAAAAATATTAGGTACAATATTTTGAAAATGACTTTATTCTACGCATCCAAGTGTAACGTTTGATGATACGTGCCGGTGAACTATTTCATTTAAGCATTTTAAGAGATAGGTATCGAATATTTGATACATTACTGCCTCATTGGTCAAGTGGTCGCAAGTGCGACTGCTGGGCAAGGGGTCTCGGGTTCGATTCCCGGGTCGGGCAAATATAAATAAAAAAATAATGAAGTGGGTGTTACATTGTAAAGTGGCATTAAGTGTCGTAATGTGCACCTCTGCCTACCCCTTCGGGGGTAAAAAGCGTGGTGTTATATATTTGAAACATCTCTATCTGCAATTCCATTGGATCAAATATACGAAAGCTGAATACCAAGATGAATTCCAGTGCATCTTTAGAAATTGTCACAAATAAGCACTTAAGTACTTATTAACATTCCTCGCTTCAAGTCATTAAAATATTAAATGACATTTTCGTAGTTTGAAATCAGAAAGCAGTGGTAGGAATAACAAGGTTTTGGCTGATTTTCGCTGAATGCTTTTGACAGTTACCTGAAAGTTTCATATAACTGAAGCCCGCATTCGTAATGAATAAGTTCCGTCATTTCAGCAACCTGCAGCAAGTCGAGTAGCTACTTCATTACCGAGAGTGTTGCTTTACCAAAATTACTAACTGCCTTATTTTAATAAAGCATTCAGAAGTGGGATGTTATTTTCTAGGAATTTCTCATGTGGTTTTTGTTGTTTATACCTAAAATCTATATATATAAAATTCAAAGGTGATTGACTGACTGACTGACTGACATAGTGATCTATCAACGCACAGCCCAAACCGCTGGACAGATTGGGCTAAAATTTGGCATACAGATAGATGTTATGACGTAGGCATCCGCTAAGAAAGGATTTTGATAATTTCCACCCCCAAGGGGGTAAAAAAGGGGATGAAAGTTTGTATGAAACTTTGTCAGTTTTTAACTGATCGGGTTGAAATTTGGTATGCAGATAGATGTTATGACGTAAGCATCCGATGTGAAAGGATTTTGATAATTTCCACCCCCAAGGGGGTAAAATAGGGGATGAAAGTTTGTATGAGACTTTGTCAGTTTTAAACCGATCGGGTTGAAATTTGGCATGCAGATAGATGTTATAACGTAAGCATCCGCCTTGAAAGGATTTTGATAATTTCCACCCCCAAGGGGGTAAAAAAGGGGATGAAAGTTTGTATGAAACTTTGTCAGTTTTTAACTGATCGGGTTGAAATTTGGTATGCAGATAGATGTTATGACGTAAGCATCCGATGTGAAAGGATTTTGATAATTTCCACCCCCAAGGGGGTAAAATAGGGGATGAAAGTTTGTATGAGACTTTGTCAGTTTTAGACCGATCGGATTGTAATTTGGCATGCAGATAGATTTTATGACGTAAGCATCCGATGTGAAAGGATTTTGATAATTTCTACCCCCAATGGGGGTAAAATAGGGGATGAAAGTTTGTATGAGACTTTGTCAGTTTTAAACCGATCGGGTTGTAATTTGGCATGCAGATAGATGTTATCACGTAAGTATCCGATGTGAAAGGATTTTGATAATTTCCACCCCCAAGGGGGTAAAAAAGGGGATGAAAGTTTGTATGAAACTTTGTCAGTTTTTAACTGATCGGGTTGAAATTTGGCATGCAGATAGATTTTATGACGTAAGCATCCGATGTGAAAGGATTTTGATAATTTCCACCCCCAAGGGGGTAAAATAGGGGATGAAAGTTTGTATGAGACTTTGTCAGTTTTAAACCGATCGGGTTGAAATTTGGCATGCAGATAGATGTTATGACGTAAGCATCCGCTTTGAAAGGATTTTGATAATTTCCACCCCCAAGGGGGTAAAAAAGGGGATGAAAGTTTGTATGCAACTTTGTCAGTTTTTAACTGATCGGGTTGAAATTTGGCATGCAGATAGATGTTATGACGTAAGCATCCGATGTGAAAGGATTTTGATAATTTCCACCCCCAAGGGGGTAAAATAGGGGATGAAAGTTTGTATGAGACTTTGTCAGTTTTAGACCGATCGGGTTGAAATTTGGCATGCAGATAGATGATATAACGTAAGCATCCGCTTTGAAAGGATTTTGATAATTTCCACCCCCAAGGGGGTAAAATAGGGGATGGACGTTTGTATGAAGCTTTGTCAGTTTTACACCGATCGGGTTGAAATTCGGCGTGCAGATGGATATTATGACGTAAACGTCCCTTTAGAAAGGTTTTTGAACATTCTCACCCCAAAGTGGGTAAAATAGGGGGTGAAAGTTTGTATGATACTTTGCCAGTTGTAAATTGATCGGGCTGAGACTTTGCATGCATAAAGTTACTATGACATAGGTATCTCTTTAGAAAGGATTTTGATAAATTCCACCCCTAAGGGGATAAAATAGGGAATGAGAGTTTGTATAAATCTTCTTAGCCGTTGAATTTAGAATCATTGAATCTTTTTGAATTACATTCGGTAAAACGATGATTTAGGACCTGGGTAACGTATGATAGTTTTTCACAGATGTCTCACGAGAACGGGAACTATGCGTCAATGCCCCAGGACTCTCTAACTCTTAACCACTGAACTTATTCTAGAGAGATTCGGTACAATAGTCGATAGAATAGTTTTTATTACTCAAACCTTACGTGATCGGGCACTGTACTGGTAATGATTATTTATTTATTGAAACTACGATAAATCATTTCAAAATAGGTAAATCTTACTTGGGCACTGAATTGATTCTGGTTAATTCTGTCAGAAGTCATTAATCTACGCGGACGAAGTCGCGGGCAACAGCTAGTTGTTATCATATAACTGTTATATTATAATTACATTTACATGAAAGTACGCATACTTTTTTTTAAACTGTCAAACACCGAGCGGTCACCGGTGACCGCGACCTATTGTTCTTTAATTGTGTTTATAAAACCGGTACTCGACGAGTTAAGTGGTGAAAATCATCGAAAGACTTCTCCCGCCTATGTTAGGCGGGAGGGAGAGTCAGACTCTTACTGAATAAAAACCACCCCGTTCCAACTCCTGCACTTCGAGCCGGAGGCCTGATAACCGGTTAAGTTCTCCTCGGCTCCGAAAAAGTACGCATATTTACAGGTACGCAGTTATTCTTTATCATTACTCTTTATGTGGACTAATATTTCTCAAGAAATTACGGCTACTTAACTATCACAACTAAAAAAGTAAGCAAGAAAAACTGCTTGTCCTATACTATTTTTCAACACACTTAAAGCTAACATTTATAAAGTTAAACATTACTGTTTCTATCCGATACAGGTACTTAAAAAATGCCATGATTACATAATGAGAACGACGTACACCTTTTAACGTTTCGCGCCAAAACAAAATGGCGTCTAAAACAAAGAGTTAGGAGTGAATGAGTGAACTGAACGAACCAGTCTTCGAGAGTGGCTAATGAATGTTACGGAAACTTTTTGTATTCAGTAAAAGCTTTACAAAATATATGGAGTTTACTCTATTGAGTTTTCTTTATTTACAGTTAGGTTAGTTTAGTTATGTTTATTAGGTAGGTATGTAAGTGGATGCTTAGGAAAGAGGTATCTAAATTGGTTTTTTTAATTATTCTACGTTCGATGTATTTAGCATGTCCCACCGACTGACTGATGTCGTGTCGAATTAGCTGAATTTATGAAATGTTCTAGATTCGTAACAGTGAGAATAAAATAAAAAAATACGAATAATCCAATATAACTCCAAATGAAACAAAATGGCTAAGCCGTGACCTACACAGAACGCGCAATATAGTCATAAATTAATTAGCACAAATCCTTTGAATAATCGTTCATTCTGCATAAATCCATTCATCAATCCATCAGAGAGAATAGAACGTTTCTCTATGGACGGGGAGCAAATTCCAAACAATATTATCTGTGTTTATTGTCTCCACACTGTATACAGTTCCCTCCAAAATCGGGTCTGTTCACTGTTGGTAGAATGGACAATGGGTAGCGTAGACTAGGTTGGGGCAGTCCGCCATTGCAGATATAACTGATGGGCAAAGACAGGCACTGAAGTAGATTATTTTGTGCTGAATGTGATTGTGAAAACTAGTAACTAGTATGGCGAATACAATTGACACGATATTTGAATGTTTTGATGTACAAAAGTTACAGACGGAACCACCATACCAATATTTCTGTTTCAGTTATCGTAATTTATTTTCATGATGTAATAAGTTTTTGATTTTGAGTATTTACGGGTACTAAACGATATGTAGCACAAGTATTTAATGACATTGAAACATAAACTATAATTAAATAGATATACATATATAACTACATAAATATTTACCACTTAAAATTGACTACAACTAAACTATTAAATAAAACGAAAGTAAAAAAGGAAAAAAGCAAAAATATAATATTATTATAATCGTAGCACAAGTAAGTTCTGTTTATGACAAAACCTGCTTAAATAGTAAAAATAAAAAACTACGGTAACAAATGACCAATTTTTCACTTTTCAACACAGACAAAGTCCCGTCCAGATTTCCTTTAAAATATTGCATTCCGCGTTGCACTGTTAGTCTAGGAGCAACTCCTAGACTATAATAATCCTTGGGGCTTACGATTCGCAGACATCTCTTAGGTATAATCCTGTATATTGTATATAACTGCGAATAACAATGATGACCACAAATCTCACAGCTTTCGTCATTGTCACAGCATTTTATCAAAACAAATTGTAAGGATTACCAATCTAGCTCAACTCTCGTGAATAATAAATTAAACTACGTATGTTGGCTTAATTATTTGCATACAGTAATTAATCTTGATAAAAGACAAAGCTGTTTCATACAAGTTTGGAATGTTCTGGAAATGTTCGGTTGGTTCTGTTGAATGCTTTTGTTTTAAAGTTTGGGCTACGTGAACGGTTTTTCCAACTTTATTCATTTGTCTGTCGAAGTAGTTTTGAATTGGTTGCCATGGT